GTAGTACCATAAAATTATATATCAATGGAAAGATAATTTAATCAAGAATGTAATGCAACATAGTTTGTTCAATTATCTGTACTGTATTCTATGAAAAGTTATAGCCAAATAACCAGAAAAAGGAAGCACAACTTGCTTAGGTTGATATCAGGTAGCTTTCCTTCATCTGATTGTAGCCAATGAGCATGAGTGTTTAGAGCCAATCAGGTGTCATCTTGTTTTGGCAGTGAGCCAATCAGATCACAGTAGGATTCAGTTATTGATGTCATGTATTGAAGCTGAGAGGAGGACATTTGTCAGTGTGTTATGTTGATCGCTATCAAGTTGGTTGGGGGTTTTTGTGTTCTTTCATTTAGTGAGTTGTAAAACATAATAAAATTAAAGTAATGGTGCAAAGAGTTGAGTGGTTGCCCAGAAAGCGATGAAAAATAGTATTATTAAGTGAACAAGGCTACAGTTATAAAGAAATTAGAAATAAAATTGGTGGAAACTTAACCAAAGGTGGCATTTCTACTGTACACTTTTCCCAAAAGGTTTCCACAATTGTGGCCATTACTGTATGTTGCTTCTCATCAGGCTATCAGCTCTAACTATCATAGGTAATATTCAGAGATGATGGGAACTGAAGTCTATCACAGATTCTGATGGGCTAGATGTTTTATAACTTCATCTATATAGAGAGGCTGCTGAAGCCACAAATGGAAGTAAGGCCTTTCTGTGGAGTGCTGTCTTTTCAAATAGCAGCCCAAAGAAAAAGAGGCCACTCTTGCTTTGCTTATATTACATACTTCAGTAGGTTTATTTACCTCTATATCTTGAAGTTCTAGTTCCTTTTAAACATCTTTTTGTGAAGAAACATACAAAACATAGTTTTTCAGATGTTGTTGTTGTTAGTTGCAAAGTCGTGTCCGATCTATCGTGACCCCATGGACAATGTTCCTCCAGGCCTTCCTGTCCTCTACCATCTTCTGGAGTCCATTTAAGCTCACACCTACTGCTTCAGTGACTCCATCCAGCCACCTCATCCTCTGTCGTCCCTTCTTCTATTGCCCTCAATCTTTCCCAGCATCAGGCTCTTTTCCAGTGAGTCCTTCCTTCTCATTAGGTGGCCAAAGTACTTGAGTTTCAACTTCAGATCTGGCCTTCTAAAGAGCAATCAGGGTTGATCTCCTCTAAGACTGACTGGTTTGATCGCCTTGCAGTCCAGGGGACTCGCAGGAGTCTTCTCCAGCACCATAGTTCAAATATGTTATCTGTTATCAAATACATTTATCTAGTTTTCATAGTCCATTTCTCGATGCTTCCAAACAGTAAGAAGGTGGATGGTAATTCATCAGTTTAGTTAAGGTGGGTGATGAACTTGTCCCCCACACCCATCCCTTTTCTCTTTTTATCTCTTTCTTTCTCTCCATCAACAGATTCTCCATTTTTGCAGGAAAATGCAAGATAAACAGTGATATCTGAACTGTATCCAAATAGGCACATTCTCAATAAATACCTGTCTCACAAAAGATATCTGTGTTATGCCAACTTAATTGTTATAGCTGTTCTCCAAGCAGAGATCAGCCTTTTTTTTTTTCTTAAGGCACCATCCTGTGTAGCTGGTTGGGAATTGTTGAAGTTATCCAGAGGCATGAGCAAAGCTTCCCCTCTCTAGACAAGAATCTCATATGTTGGGGAGCAGAGGGTGAGTTTATGGAGAAAAGGGGCAATTTGCAACCAAGAACAGTGGAGCTTCTGTGCTGCAAAGAATGCTGGGAACTGTAGTTTGATCAGTAGACTGACTATTCTTCATTTGATATCAGAGGCAGGCTAATACCTGCTATTGTGTAAGAAATAAAATAATGGGGCTGCATAGAATGGGCTTGTTTAGAAGGGATAAAATCTCTGTCCTCATTCACATTTTTGGAGGAACAATCAGCAGTTAATCGGACACCTTCACTGTCTGGAATGGAAATGCTCTCAGGTGCAACTCAGCATAATCCCTCCTATCGCTTCGTTGATATTAAATTATATACGAGCACCAGCTACTTCTCGGACACCTTCAGAGAAGTAGCTGGTGCTTGTATATAATTTAATATCAACGAAGGGATAGGAGGGATTATGCTGAGTTGCACCTGAGAGCATTTCCAGTCCAGACATCCACTTCAACAATCCTTTTACCTTTGGAGCAAGTTATAATTAAATCCCAATATTCAGTTCAATCTCTTGAGCCTGATTCCTGGAGGTAAAATAATTTAGGGATGACCTTGGGAGAAGTTATGAAAGAATTGTTAAGAAGAAAGCTGCAAAATCAATCAGATCTTACTCTCAGTCATGGGCCAGACTAAAACTTGCAGAAAACTTACACAATCCAGAAACTGAAGCAAGCCTGAGAAAGAAACTAAAAACAACAACAAAACCCTGCCTTGATTTTGTTTTGTATAAGATGGGACAGAGAGACATTTGGACAGGCTTTCAAAACTGATGCCAGCCCTACAAGATAGGGCAGCCCTTCAAGACAGATGCCACAGAAATTTCTGGAGTTCTCCTTTATTATTGTAGGGTACATTACATCTTACAATAAACAAAAATCAAGGAGGCGTTATTTTCAGTTTCTTTCTCTTATTTCTTTCTGTCTTTGTACTAGGTAATCTTTCTGCATGTCCTTTAATCCAAAGCAATTTCTAAATGCTTTTACTCTGGATCAAGTGATTCCAGACATTATTTTGGGATGTACTACCTTCTTCCTTTTTATATATTGAATCTTGACTGCTGTTTTACCTTATAGAAAACATTCACCTTTTTTGAGCACCACCCTGAGATAGGAGGCTCAATCTCTGTGTTGTGAATATGCTGTTAAAAGAGACATAATACCAAGATCACATCTGCTAACTCATGTTAATTTAATTAACATGAACAGTATGTATCTAAAGCTTCTTTTTAGTTGGCTGAGCCAGACCAAATCTTTGCTCGTGATAAGAACATAAAACAATTATTGGATGCAGTTAGGCCTTGTAGGCAGGGGAGAATGTAAAGAGACTATTTTGGTTGCTTGCTGTTTTAAAACCATGTTGTTTTCCATTAATGTCACCATGCCTGGGGATCCTGTGGTAGTACGGAGCCTGTGAGTTGGTTATATTGATAGCAATTGCATAGATTGTACTCTCCCACAAATTAGGTTGTATGGTTTTAACTGTTTTAATTGGCTTTGGATTGCTTTTTATTTTAATTGTTTATTGTTTTGTTATTTAACTGTGTGAACTGCCCAGTCACAAATGTGAAATGGGGGGGGGGGCTACATAAATTAAACAAACAAACAAAATGTGTGAAGTTGCCTAGAAGCCATCATCTAATAATGTGTTACCTCTTTTCTCTTTTGTCATCAGCATCTAGAGCAAAGAACATGATAAAAACAGGAAGCGTAGAATTAAATTTAATAGGGTTAGAAATGTGTAGTTGTTTCATTTTTTAAAAAACATGCTTTAACCAGATGTATTTTGTGGTAACTCTTTTGCAATGTAGCATTACTCAAATTATGTTTTTTCAGGCTTGAAAGTTATAAAACCTATGGTCAGGTTAATCTGGGAGTCTGAAAACAATAAGTAACTGTTTATTCTTGTTCCCCTTTTAAATCTGCAGCTCAGTATTTTGCAAGCATCATGGTCATTGTTGGTTTATCTGTCGTAGTAACAGTCTTGGTGCTTCAGTGTCATCATCATGACCCTCAAGCAGGAAAGATGCCCCAGTGGGTAAGTGACAACTACACATCAGCCTTCATAAGCAGCAATACCTTTTGTATTTCATCACTTAGACAATGCTAGAAAGAACAGATGATTTTAAGGATACGATACTAATTCTTACTTCCTCTCCTCACCTTGGTGTATGCTGACCCTGCAGGGTTTATGACTGACCAAGCAGGATACCTTTCTTTTCTTTTTGTTTTTTCAAAAAAATCCAGTATTTTTATTTCTTTTAATATAGTCAAAAAGGAAAATAAGGAAAAGTGAGTTAAAAATTAAACAAAAACAAGAATACAGAACAGTCACACAAAAAAAGAGACTTCTGACTCACCCTTATGGGTGGTTTGTGTCTTCCTCAATTGTGGGTCCTATACCAGAGACCTGGGAGTTTGAGGGTTTGTGCAGCATCTTAGCTGTTCCTAGCCCTGCACTCTTTTAGACAGAAAGCTCTGATGCTCTTCCTGGGATCTGTTGAAATCACTCTCCCAGCTTAGGGGGTCACAGCCCCAAGTGCTCCTACTACCACTGGGACTACTGCGATCTTTATTTTCCTCATCC